GGGCAGAGAGACCGCCGCAGAGTTCCTCGCGGAGCTGCGCCATCTCGCCACCGACTGCAACTTCGGGGCACATCTGGATGATGCCCTCCGTAACCACTTCGTTGTGGGCTTGCGCGGGGAGAAGCTCAGACGGAGAATCATGGAGAAGGAGAAGGTCGGCCTCAAAGAGGCCCTCGCCATCACCATCGCGTGGGAAAGGTCGCACGTCATCCCAGCCACGGCCCTCCAAGTCGAGCCGGAAGGTTCCGAAGAGCAGGACGTCCACCGGGGCCCGGCAGCGCACCCAAGCACCGCACCACACTCCAGTTACGAACGCGAGCACCGACCGCCAGCATCCCAGCGCATCCGCATGTGCCAGCTGTGGAGATCTGCACGATTGGAAGACCTGCAGGTTCCGGAACATCGCTTGCCGCAGCTGTGGGCGCACGGGCCACATCGCAAAGGTTTGCCGAGCCAAGCCAATGGGACGGCCCCAGCCAGCACGCCAAAGAGCCGAGGCCCACTTCGAGGAGGACGTCGGCACCGAGGACCTCTACCTCCTTACCCACACAGCGGAGAAGCTACTGAGACTCCCCGACAAATCCCCCCCCCTAAGTTCATGGCCACCGTAAAAATAGAGGGGTCCCCTTGTGAGATGGAGGTGGATTCGGGCTCCGCAGCTTCAATAATCTCCGCGGCAATGCTTAAGCACCTTTGCCCTAAGGGGGGACCCCGATTGCGGCCAGCCCAGGTGACGCTCATGGACTTCCAGCGGAACCAGGTGCCGATCAAGGGAGTCGGAACGTTCAGGGGATTCTAGTCCCTCCACTGGGGGAACCAATGGGACCGTAGCGGGAGATTCAAACCCGCCAATGGGACCCAGGGGTGTGTCCCCTGGTTGTGTATATAGTTAGGCCTGCCGGCCGTTGTTCCTTGTTCTTGTTGTGTACTAATAAAGCGTGCTATGCACTACGTCAGTCTCTGTCGTTCATCCATGCGGCAACCCACTACACAATAAGGGGACAATGAAATTCCCCTTCCAGCAAGTCTTTGCTCCCCTGCTTATTATTTCATAAGACTGCATATCCAGGGAGTCCCCCAAGTAGACAGAGATCCATAGTTTGTCTGTGGGCTTGCCTGCTTATATTGCCTTTCATCATATACCTTGGTACCCTTTGCTTAACTGTTAGATACAGTGATTCATAGACATACAAACCCAGCGCTTGATGCATGCTATACTGTTTTAATTAATTCACAATAATTACTGCTGACAGAGTGGTAATCACAGTGAGTTGTAAGCATGAAGACTAAGTATGCCTATCCATCTCAACAGGCATACAGCACTCCCAGTAGATATGGACTGTTATATCATAGCAAGTTGTGAATTTGGTTATGTTCCCGTATTGAACTGTTTAGTTATTTTCCCCTGATCCCTTAGGGCCGAAAAGCCTGTGCTGTAGTTTGGTTTCACTTCCTCTTCTGGTTGTTGGCTGTTTGTTTTTATTCAAGCAGAGCCCAGGAAAGGTTCTGCTTTTGTTCCAATAAAGCTTTCAGTCCTTCTGGCACAGTGTGTTTGTGAAAGTATTACATGGACTATGTTAGCATGTATCTCTGATGCTCTCTTGAACTCTTTGCATGAGAGGTGTGTTAATAATGCAAGACTGGATGCAGACGAGAAATTGAAAAAAATGCATTCTAGGTCAATTGAAACCTCATGTGCAAGATTTTTGGAACCTCTTTCTCGAATTAGAAATTCTATTATGACAGCTCCTCTTGTTGGACATTTTGTTGTGACCCACCATGACCCAGAGAAGTTAAAAATTGTTATTTACAAATACACACCACAGAAATACAATTGTCATGATATACAGAAATTTCTGTTGCAAAAAGAAGCAAGGTACATCTTTGAATATAGAACTTTTTCACCTTATGGTCTAAATAATGAACTTGACTTATCCTCTTATTTGTAGCCTTCCATTTTGTGTTAAACATACTCTGTGACCTTAAATGCATTCTGTGACTTGGAATAATTTAGGCATGATTAGCTTTAAGTATGCAAGCTGAGTTTATGCATGTGAGAACCACTTTGCCGAAAGGAGTGTGTTAAGTACGAGACTCAACACAGCTTGTGAACAGTGATTCAGCTTTATTCAACGTAGTCAGAAGAAATCAAGAACGAGACAAAACTATAGAGCAACAGGCTTTCTTTTAAACTTGGGAGGCCACATCCACATGTCAGATAACAACCAATAACTATTTACAGATAAAGTCCAATCAGAGTGCTTCCCTCCAGACATTTGCGCAGCTCTGATTGGTCTATTTACAATCCTGTTTGAGTCCAAAGCTTAACATGGTTTTCAATACATAACAGAGTGCAACTGAGCCTGTGTGGGAGTATGATAAAGCATGCAAAATATGTAAACTTTGTGGGTAAGTCAGGCTTCAAATTGTTTGTAACAAGGCTTGAAGTGTGTTTTGAATATCTGCATACACAATGCTTTGCTTGTTTTGTTATTTATATTAGTTCCATAAGAATATATTGGCTCCGAAGAAGAATAATCAAAACTCTTGACCGACAAGAGACATCAGCCAGTTTTCTTAGCCTCCCTGCAGACCTGAAAGTTTGGAAACTAAGAAGCAGTAAAGAAGATAACAGTTGGTTTTCAAGGACTGCATACAGCCCATTTACTGGTCTTGCTCTAGGAAGGTTTCTTTGTGTATATCTGCACTTGTGTATTTATTTAAAAGCCTCAGTGCTTTAACAAGTAATAAGTATATCTGGATCATACTAAATGATTTACATTCTATCTCTATGCATGATTCTTTCATTAATTGTATTTGAGACATATGCCTTTAAGTAGCACTTGAATTAAGATTGCTGGGGAAAAGATCAACAACCTCAGATATGCAGACGATACCACTCTAATGGCAAAAAGTGAAGAGGACCTCAAGAGCCTCTTGCTCAG